ATGCAGCGTGCAGTGATGGCAACATATCACCATGTCACATCGACTGACCAGGACCCTCACCATGAACTTTGCCCAGAGGGGGCTCAATCGTGGTGCCGCCATAGAGCTGCAGAGGCAAAGCGTGAGCCACAGCCAAAACATAAACACAGCCTACCGGACTATGTCGCTGCAGCTATGCTGCCCATCTACGAAAGACTGTCACAAAAGTCGCTTCTTCAGCGCTGCCTGGGAGCGAAGACGCAAAATGCATCAGAATCATTCCACTCCATTCTGTGGTCTCTGATGCCGAAGGAACAACACTCATCCTTGATCGCAGTAGAAACAGCACTGCATGAAGCAGTGCTGCGCTACAATGCCGGCTGCTGCAAAGCAACCCAAGTGATATCGGACTCCATTGGACTTCAACCAGGTCATCTGGCCATCCAGTGAGCTCGTGAAAAAGACGCTTTACGCCTAAAAAAGAATTCTAAAAGACACCAAGAGAAGATGGAGGCCAGGCAAAAGAAGAAAAGAGTGCGCCAGGACACTTCTAGCTACTGTGCTGGAGCTTTTTGAAGAAAACACGTGTTTTGAACTTTCTTGGCCTGTTTTCTCGGAACGGATTTTTTTGCTAGTTGTGGTGCTGAGGAAAGCAAGAACTCGAAAACCGTTCATCAGATTTGTGTGCCGTTTTTTTTATTCTGTTCCTGAATGACCTTGCAAGGGCGTAACAAGCTCCTTTTTTTGAAAATTGGTGCTGTTAATTTATAATGAACAATAAATTTTTTATTTGAATCTGGTCATTACTGGTTGCATCAAATTCAAAGTTGCGTGAAAATTTTGGGGGGGGGGGGGGGGGGGGGGTGGGAATTAAAAAAAAAAACGGCTTTGTAGCGCCCTGGGATAGCTATCAAGGAATGACCACAATGAATTTCAGCTTTCTACTATGTCCTGGGATTTCTCACGACTCTTCCTCAGGCACCCATGTGAAGCAGCCAGTTAAACCTCAATAACTCTGGAACTAAGAAACACAGCTTCGTGAAACTTAGCAGTTGTGCTAGTTTTATTGTAGTGAACAACCCCTGAAAGTTTCATCCAGATATCTTAAAAAATAAAAAAGTTCGGTCTCCAGGGTAGCCTCCCCCCTTAAGTACTATCACTGTGTGTTTATGGATTGAATTTCACTCGCGCCTCGATTGTAGCCACCAATCAGTTAGCCTCCTCCTGGTTATTTCTACCCGTTTAAAGTCTATTTTCCCTTCACTGTCCCTAAACCACAATGCTTTGAAAGATTCGGCGCCATTATCTTCGACTATAAGATGGAGTCCTTTACAGAACATTATCAAATGTTGAGCCGTTCCCTCTCCTCTCCACACACACTACATACCGTGTCTGTGTCTTCGTATTTTTTCCTCAGTACATCTTGGTCCGCAACACTCCCGTTCTAGCCTCTAAGAGCAAAGAACTACCCCAAGAATCATCGTAGGTCTTTTCCCTTGCAATTTCCTGCTTAAAAGTTCGGTAGGTCTCCTGTGACGGTTTCGTAAGCATTCCAATCTTCCACATGTCCCTCTCTGTTTCCTTCACCTTCTTAACCGATGTTTCCTTCTGGCTTGGTATTCTGCTGTTGTCTAAATACTTGCTTGACAATTCTAGAGTTCGTTTCCTCCATTTAGGACCAACATTCTTCATGCACAAGTAACTGAAAACTTTCCTAGCCCAAAGCTCCTCTCCCATTTTTCTCAATCGCTCCTCAAATTCTATGTTTCTGCTAGCTTCCCTGCACTCAAACGATGTCCATCCCATGTCTCTGTGTACCCCCTGATTTGGGGTATTCCCGTGTGCTCCCAAAGCAAGTCTACCTATGCCACGTTGTTTAATTTCCAATCTTGCTTCAACCTCTGATTTCATGCACAAGACCGCATTGGCAAACGTCAAATCCGGGACCATGACACCTTCTCCAATTTCTCTCACAAGGCCACACCTATTGCAGTTCCGCAGTCCCCTATTTTTCATTACTGCTGCATTCCTGGTGCCCTTAGTCATTACGTATCTTTCGTGCTCCCTTAGATACTCAGCACCGTTATTTATCCATACGCCCGAATATTTGTATTTATCCACTATTTCTAGCGTGACTTCCTGTATCTTATGCTCACTGCCTTTGTTATCATTAAAAATCATGATTGCCGATTTTTCCCTGCTGAACTTCAAATCTAACCTCTTCCTCATTACCACAGATGTCTATCAATCCCTGCAAATTCTCCTTGCCGTCGGCTATTAATACTAGATCATCTGCATACATCAATGCTGGTAATGACTGTTCAACGTGTTTTCCGTGCTTGGAAAAAAAGAGGCTGGAGCCGAGTCGACTGCCCTCTAATTTGGCTTCTAGTCCCTGGAGATACAGCACAAAGTAACAAAGGTGACAAGAGACCTGTCGAAGCCCGTGTTGTATCTCTATAGGTTCAGATACCTGTTCTTCCCATTTGATAACTACCTTGTTACTTTTATAGATATCCTTTAGAGGATTAGTTATTCCATCTTCCAAATCTAGTGTGTTCAGTATTTCCCACAAGTCTTCTTAAATCATACTATCGTAAGCTCCCTTGATATCTAGAAATGCCATTTTTGCTATTTCAATACACTGCATCATTGAAAACAGATTGCCCTCCAACCTCCTTTCTTATATACATATGTACAACGTCCTCTAGGGGCCAGCCAACTGGTTCCGAAACCGGAACCGGAACCCAGACACCACGAAAAAGTACCTAATGCTTGATGCAGCGAACTGAATGGATAATTTCACCATTTGTTGCTATCAGGGCAGTGGGCATGTAGCAAGAGCAAGTTCTGATCGAAGCGGGCAGTCGCTTCTGCATGGGTGCTGCCATATTGATTATTAAACACAGTTACCAGCTGTAGCCTGACACAAATAATTTAATGTGTACAAAGTAAATGCGAAGAATAAACATATCACGTATCGATGTGGCGTAACACACACCAAACAAACACCAGTTTTAGTCAACCCTTGTCAATTTTAAGGCACTAATTATACCTGGGACTGTGTTTTGCTGGGCAAGCACGTGGTTTTCTTACACCCCGTAGCTTTGGTAGTGGTGAACCACAGGGGTGAAACAGTATAGTTTATTGATTAAAAAAATAAAAACACCAATTCCAACATAGAGACACAGTCACTGGACAAAAAATAAGGTGGGGCCCATTGAGTTGCATTGCCGTCAATGGACGAGCACGTCTGCGTCTGGACCGAGTTGACAGTTGCGGCCGCTTTTTTGGTGAGGGCACTAATACATCAGCCAACACTTTGTGCTGCAATGTGGTCACATCTAGATTTATGCGTGTCCGTGTAGCTTTCATGTGCTCTTCTTTTTGCCTCTGATCATGTGTGGGAAGCAGCTTGCCTCACATTTCCTGTGCTTGACTGTAGTTTTATAGCGCACGTATGTGGCAGACGATTTATCCAGTGGTGCCGCTAATCAGCTCAAGCACGGAGAAGAGACGCTACAGTGAAGTACCACATATTAAGCTTGTAATCTACTGGTGTCAGGAAACGTATGACTCGTTGTAGAGCACTGCTTCTTTCACATATGAGCGCTAAGACAGGCACACGCCACTGCATCTAGACGACAGCATAAAGCCACCACACCGACGATTCCCTCTCAATAGCCACACGCGACAAAAATAAAACAAGTATCAAAAGGCGCCTACGGCGTGCCTTACCCTCTACACATGTGACAGCCTAACGCTCGTGCAGATCGGGAGAATTCGGGACATCGTAGTGGGGCCTCTTTTTGACCAACCGTTTCAGTATACAGACCAGTGACACAAACCACTTTGTTCTAGCTGTCGCTGTGCTGTCGCTGTGTCGCTGTTCGGCTGCACGCCGAACTTTTTCGTGTTGCTATCTCGTAAAAATATGCTTGGGAACTTTTTTTTTTCTGCCATTTTGCTTCGAACCATTCGAAAAACTTCCTACAAGTGTTCAAAAATATTCAAAGAATATTCAATTCCCACTCGCACTTCAACATTCGAATTCGCGCCAAAAGTTTTGCTATTCGCATAGATCTAGTGCTAATCATTGCATGTTCATGAACAAGGCCTATGTCCAAATACTTTCTTGCAAGGTGCCAGACACTGTCGCAACAAAGCTAAGGTGGTAGGACGTGGTTTTCAGCAGAAACATTTCCAACCGTGAACCACTCACGACAAGTGAGAAAGACCATCAAAGTATCCCAGCTTTAACAAAAATCACTTCCAAGGAACCTGGACAAGAGTCACAGGATTGGATGCATCTAACCATGCCCCTTCCACATTTTATGAAGTTTTTATACATACTTTTCAAATTAAAACGTCCTAAAATGTTTCCCTCGTTCATCTTTCAATACAACTGTGACACTTGCTATTTGGGAGCAGAAATACCTTCTGTTGATTTGAGCTAACAATTTCTTTTTTTCCCAGTAGGCAATACACTGAAGCCTCAATATAACGAACCTGGATATAACGAAACACTAGTTGTAACAAAGTAAATAAAAAATATCCTGGAATAGATATAGTGTAGTAATGAACCTCTATAACAAACTTTCAGATATAATGGTCTTATTTTCATATTACCACTTTCAAGGCAACATGTACTGTCCTAAAATGAAAGAATACACATGTTTCCCATGTAAAAGGTGGTTTTCATTTCAGTTTTTATTTCAGCATTGGCTGAATATACCAATTTATGGCTGCTTGCACATCCTACACATGCTACGTAGAAAGCTTCAATACTGGAACCGTTCCACTGAAGTTACCTGCTTAGATGCAGATTTTACTCCAGAAAAGCCAGCTTCTACGATGATTCCTGATCGCATTAAAAACTACTTGGTCTGTCACAAAAGCAACTATGTTCATAGAACCTGTACAGCAAAACACACAAGCTAAACGTTTCACTCAGATCTAGTAGAGAAGCTGTCATTCAAGAGTAGTCATTTCCTCTGATCAGTAAATAGGAGAACACTTGCCTCCTTCACTGCCGTCTCCACGGGGGGAGCATCCGGAATGACAGCAAACGTGGTCTCGGCCACGGCCAAGCCATTCGATGCCTCCGTGTCAGTCGCCTGGGATCCCGCAACAGTGAAAGACTCCCCAAGCACCGGCAATGGTTCGGCTGGAGGAAATTCAATGGCACTTTACAGGAGTCCCTTGGACCACAAGGAACACCATGACACGTGCGCAGTCATAACGACACCTTCAAGTGCTGACACCCTGCGCTGTGTACTTTGCCACCTCGCATTCATGGTAAGGTATGCCTATACGCATAAAAACGGCTAGGTCGGTGCATTCGACGCCTCAAGACTGGTTCTATCCCGTGTCAACTTCAAAAACAGAAAAAAAAACACTTGTTAAAGGGGCCATGACACCCAGTTTTTTATCATAATTTGTAGGCTTGTGCAAATATTCGAATGGTTTGAATATTCGAGCAAACAGTAGAGTATCAGAATTTGCTTCGATTCGAATTTAAATTATTGAATATTTCGAAATATTCGCAATGAACAAGTAGATGTATATCAATCTGCACGTAACCACCTGTAAAGGTGGTTTCACTGCAATGTAGTGTTGATAAGCCGTGAATGCACTTCTGCAGGGGAAATCCGCCCTGCCAGGAAGTCCCCTGCAAATCTAAAGGGGCCCCCTGCAACACTTTTTGAGCATGGTCACAAAACCCTGCCGCTCGCTAGTTGAAGCTACCGCTGAAAACGCGAGCCAAATGTTATAGTGTCGCACTGTGGCCTGCTATTCACAATAAATCTCAGTCATCTAAAAATTGCTCTCTTCTCTTGGTAAATGACTCCACAAGCTCAAAAATCCCTCGTCACCGCCATTGTATCGGGCTGATTTGAGCATGACGCGCTCAGTCATTCCCGAGACTGCCACTTGTGCACGCATACGCACATTTGCACTGAAAAGCTGCATATTCGAAGAAAAAAAGAGAGAACAAGTGCTGAAGGTCCGACTTTCCTCGTGCCATCCCTCCCTGCCGAGCTTCCAGCGCTTTCGTCGGGACGAGAGGAGAAAATGCAATTGCAGCGTGCAACAAATCTTTGCAACTATGCTCGTGCTGGACTGCATTCTAAAAATGTCGAGGTTGTGAATTCGTGAGGCAATCAGCTTCTTTAGTGAATTCATTCCCTGGCTACTTGAAAAAGTGTTGCAGGACCCCTTTATCAAACCTTTTACAATCAAATGAATTCCTCATTTTATTAAGCATAAAAGCTTGTTATGATGGCTTATATGCTCTATGTATAATAAATTTTAGAATGTTACGTAATTCACAGCTTATCACTCGCATCCTACTGAAAGTCAAATCCTGCTACTACTCAAGGTTATTTCGACCTCCTTTGAATGAAAAAAAGGGGAATTTGCATAGAGGCTTTACTTCAATAAAAAAATATTATGCGGGTAAGTTAGGTCCTGATAAATATGCCTATTTTTCTTTATATGTCATATATACTATTCAAATTCGATTCGAAATTATCCGACCAAAATCAATATTTGCTTCGAATTAGCTTCAAACCAAAAATGCACTATTCCCTCAAGCCTAATAATTTCTATTACATTAGCTAATCCTTGTGCATTCACAAATAAGCTGGTGAAATTTCAGAGCATTTGGTCCAGGACCCTTCAGCGGCGGTGTGTACTCTGAGCACATCAACTTCGAAGTCATGTTATGTCACGCCCCGCCGTGGTGGTCTAGTGGCTAAGGTACTTGCTGCTGACCCGCAGAGCGCGGGTTCGAATCCCGGCTGCGGCGGCTGCATTTCCGATGGAGGCAAAATGTTGTAGGCCCGTGTGCTCAGATTTGGGTGCACGTTAAAGAACCCCAGGTGGTCGAAATTTACGGAGCCCTCCACTACGGCGTCTCTCATAATCATATAGTGGTTTTGGGACAGTTAAACCCCACATATAAAGCAATCAATCATGTTATGTCACATGCCAGAGTCTCTTCAAACGACTTGAAATGCAGTGTGCACATTTGTGCCCACCTCCCACGTGAACAGCTAGCGGTAATTTAACTTTACTGTGCTGCGTATTGTTCAACAATGGTGTGACAGGCCATGTTTAAGGACTAACGTCAAGAGTATATTTTCTTCACTCAAAATGCAACGTCAAAAATATTTTTTCTTCACTCAAAATGAATACAACTAAAAAACAAACTGTGCATGCATTTTAAGCCTAATATTAGGTTATTTTTATGCAAGAACTAAAACTAACTGGTTGCACAATAATTAGGAATTTAATCCCCCTCCACTACTCAAATTCACAAAAAAAACTACACATTCTTAACTTTAATACTGAGTGCCTTGGAATCATTCCATGCGAATTCGACACATTTACAGGCAGTGGACCGTAATTCATACCAGACGGATGGATATACACTAACACCTCCATATAACAAAGCCAGATATAGCAAAATATTGGCTCTAACGAAGTAAATAAAAAATAGTCATGTAATAAATATAGTGTAAGAACTAAAGCTTTATAACCTAAAATGGTTACATTGTGGCTAGAGGGATTACTTTGTGGCACTCACTTCGGTTTCTGTATTTTAAATCTTTTGCCATGACAAGGCGCTGCCGAAAAGCAATAGGCCGCTCGAAAAGCTCACCTTACATGTCAAGTGACCTAGCGGTAGCCTGCCAAAGTTTCCATGCTACGTAGCCACTCTACAAGCCGACATGTTGAATGGTGTTTTGGCACGCATTCTTAAACCACCATAAACTTTGTTTGCTCGACCCGTCCCCATGAGAAAAACAGCGAAAACTGGTATCTACTTGTGATAGTTATTATGTAGGCTAAAATAAACTATAATATAAATTTAATCAAGTCATGCCCGTTTAAGGTTACAGAAAGGAAACTGAAATGTTGATACTTCACGGGGTAACTTTGTGACACGCCAAATGTTGCAAAGTTACCCCACGAGAAAAACAGCAAGAACTGGTATCTACTTGTGATAGTTCATATGTAGGCTGAAATAAACTAATCTGAATATAATTAAGTCATGTCTGTCTAAGGTTATAGAAAGGAAACTGAAATGATACTTCGTGGGGTAACTTTGTGACACGCCTACTGTCGCAATGTTACTCCAAGAAGGGCAGTTCTTCCTGCGGTATCAGACCTATATGATCCAAGAAGAGGTCTCCTTTTGAGGACAACAGCGTAGAAGAAAGCAGTGACAACGAATCGTCTTCAGATGGTCAGCATGGCAACAACAAAAAGTGCTCGGCAGGAGGTACAAGTCATTCCTAGGTACTCTCCGGAAGTCTTGGCAATATATCTGAAACGGACACTCCTACCACTTTCGTGATACCAAATACTAGCAACGTCTTGAGAATCTATGGCGCGGGCTCCGGAGAAAGAAACGTCAAGAATGATGACTTCGTCGCAATAAACTTCGGACGACAACTTTACCAGGAAAGAGCGACGGCAGTCGAACCTGACAGGCACATCGTCAGCACTATGGAAAGGACACAAAGGAATTGGAGATGGGTGAACCGCGAAGACGCAATTTTGTACTCAAAATAAGAAATTCTGTACTCAATTGAATTCCCTAGGCCAGTAGGCAAATGGGGCATCTTTGAGGTAAAAGATCTTGATTTAGGAGGTACATTTACCGAACTAAGTTTTCATAGAATTGTAACGTTGCTAGAGCAGAAACCAATTGTAGATAGCTCAAATAAACTTTTAATGTGGTAACTTTGTGCCAGCTTTTTTTTTTTTTTTTGCTATCATATTCAGCCAGAAACAATGTTGTCACAAAGTTGCCCCACACGATGGGGCGATATTGCGACAGTTTTTAACCTGAATATCGCTGTTTGTAATAAAAATGTGGATTTGTAGAACATTCCTTCATGTGAGGGAACGTTTTGGAAATGTTCTGCCATAATTCATTCGCCTTTATGTTGATAATTCTCTGGCACGAGAAGGAAAACGTGCGAAATCTGTCACAAAGTAATCCCATTTCACGGTAACGAATTTTTGGATTGAACAAACTTATTTTCACGCAGTATGCAATTTTGTTATAGTGAGGTCTGAGTGTTTAGAACTGTGTACTTTTGTAAATACTTGAGTGGCTGGAGTCTGGCAACACTGGAGCCCTAAAGAGCTGCTGACGTAGCACGAAGCTCAAGTTCGAACGACTACATTCCGGCGAGCGGTATTGTCCCGTGGCGAAATGTTTTAGCATTTTTCAGCTGGTTATTGAAATTGAACAATTTGCAGCCGCTGACACTTCGGTAGAAGACGACAGTCCTGCTCCTTGCTACATACGATGTCAACCATCCATGGCAACATGACGACGGTGGGTGGGGCTAACAGCCAGAGACTTCTAGGGCTTCTTTCGCATTGAAATATTATTTTACGATCCCCTTTTATATCTTTAACCCTCTACTTCACTGACAACTACAAATGTTTAGGTGGCTGTGTCATGGCCCCTTTAATTAGCCTGACATAGTGACTCCCATTCATCTAAAATGAGACTGAGCAATACAGGGTTGGTGTGTAACATAAGTTATAAGCAAGGAGCAAAAAACGGCGGGCAAAATTTGCCACCGTCCCATTTTTACAGCCCCAGCAAGACGAAGGGCTCCACTAGCGATCTCCGATTGGTAATACTAGGTGCACCCACATCATGCACTTCAAGACCAAACCGAACAAGCATCGAATAGTATTTCCATGTGCCAGCTGAATAAAACAATGAACAGCAGAGTTTATATTTTAGCACGAAATAATGCTTACAGCCTAATATTCCTCACATTACACAAAGCTCCATGAATAAGTTACTTCTCTACTTTATAGGCACTACCAAGGTTTAGGTATGACTATGCTACTATGCCCATGGGATGTCAAAGGTTGGATTTAAGTATAGCGGCAATATGACCTGAAAAGCAGTCACTGAAAGACAATTAAAGGAACTATTTAAAATATTTCAAGTTTGTTCGTATATGTGCACACTCCCCTAGAAAATACTCCATTTTATGTCAGTGCCATATTGTTGTACCTCTTATTTAGCATAGATGAAAAACTTTATGCAACTGTCAATTTCCAAGACGACACCTTCCAATAATGAGGCACTTTTCCAAGCAACTGATTACTTCAAGGAACTGGTTCCTTCAAGGATCACCTACCCCTTACTTCACCATTCGTAATAACTCAGTACACTAATAGGGGATACTCATACTGCTTGGCGTGCAACCGCGAGCGCATCCACCTTTTGGGGGAGGAGGAAGAGGGAGGGGGTACAATAATTTGCTAGCATCTCAAAGGATAGGCCACGAAGAGGCTGAGCCCTTGGCAGGAGCTTGTAGAACAAGAGAATGCAGCTGTCTCTTTCATCATCCAGCGCTGAACAGTCAGCGAACTTCACTGTGCCATCACGAATCAACAAGAACACATTATTGGAGTTCTGCATGCTTAGAAACTTATCAAAACAGCAGCTGCAAAAGGTGCACCGCTCCAGTAATGCTGAAATGATGTTCTCTAGTGGCGTACGTGCGCTTCTGATCAGAGTGTAAGTGTTCATGGAAGAGGAGGCGCGACTCTCAAACTTATAACCTCGTACAGCAAAACATCTCCATTGCTATTCCCCCCCTGAGAGAATAAACACTAGGCATCTCTAGACAAATCTATTCGCGGTGAAGCACCCCTATACTGCAGCAAAACCACCTTTACAAAGGAATTACATGCGGACTAATAAACACCTATTCGTTCATTTCGAGTACTTTGAAATTTTCAATCACTTAAATTCAAATTGAATTGAATTCAAATACTGTATTATTTGTTCGAATACTCAGAGCATACAAATATTTCCACAAGCCTAATTATAACAAATATACTGTCATATCTGATGTCATAAGTTGGTTCAACTGCATGAGTTGATTGCTTTTATCAATCTGTAATGCTAACAAGCTACTGATCCACCACGCTCTGTCGTGTGAGCATGATATTGGTTTTTCGTTTTAAAATACATATATCATTATAAAACACTATTAGTGCTAACTTGTTCACACCATTGTTAGGGCTCCCTCGCTGCCTGAACAGTGCACAAAGCATTGAGAAGTCATCACAAAACGAAAATAAAACAGCAGCTAGTACTTGAAAAGCTTGTTTTCAAGCCCAATAAAACATGTTAGATTTTTGGGTTTCCCAACAGATGGTGCGGTACATTTTGAGTATCCCCTATTCACATCATTGTTGTGCCTAACCGAAATGGTATAGTGGGAAAATTTCTCACAAGCAAGAGTCCCGACGGCCAGCGCTGCACTTTTGGAAGATTGCTCCAACGATCCTGCCCCGATTATAATGGCATCCGTCTTGGCCAACGAAGCCTGCACAGCCAAAAGCAAAAATTGCGGTCAATCACTCTAGTTATGAGGGGTGGCCTTGGCATTATCTGCATTGCATTGAAAATGATTGTCACTTCGAGGGAAGCATGCCAGGAACGTTTACAAAAAGCCTAACAAATACCAACATGGGAGCTAATATTGCCTCCCTCAGTCACATACGATGCCATCTTCCAAGCATGGAATGCATAATTTTCCTTCACGTTGTTAACCATTTTTGGGCACACACTTTCCACATTTCATGAGACCGCAGTGCCTTCCTGTCTTTTTCCAACAGCAAGAAGAATGAAACAGTCTGCACGAAGAGAGAATGGCGAGAACATTAACACAAACGAAATGCAGACCGCTTACTCTCGCGTCATACTGATACAAATATTGCGCACAGATTCCATTTGTACATTATAATACCTGTATCTACCTTCCTACTTCTATTCAAGCAACAGATTACACAATTTACACATGCCTCCTCAAATAATTTTTGCAGTGTCACATTCTACTATAAGGTACGCAGAAACATTCCTTGTATAAGTCACCTCAACCATGCTGGGGCGCGCATGCGAGATTACAGGCAAGCGGCGTTCAGTCGAACATTTCACCTCTTTCCAAGGTGCATAACATTTTAAATGTTGGCAGACGCGATCGCCAGTGCCTAGGGCTTCCATTACACTTGCCAGCTCGAAATGCGCGAACCTCGTGAGAGGCACTTTAAGATGTACACAGACAGAGGAGAAATTAAACGTGTGCAATTAGACACTGTTAATAAGAGTCTAAAAGACCCTTATGGCCTATTACCGGTCTGGTTATTTGTTCCTGTGCTGCCTTACTAAGCCATGCTGAAAACAAAGAGACGCAGGAGTGCGTTTATTTGACGGAGGACACTTAACTCGCCATGCTGAACAATGAAAGGAGAGACCATATTCTGCAAATGCTGCTGAAAAAAAATTTCAGGGATATGCCAAACTATAGAAGCCTTTGTACCAGCATAAACTAAAACATTTTTTTTTTTTTGCTTTCCTGTCAGACACAGGTCACGCACATATTTGTTTGAAAATTTGAATTTTTGTAAAAATTTATTGTGCCTGTATTTACAATTTGGGGGCCTAAAATTTTGTTTTTCCTGCCAATTTCTGGCACCTAAAACCAGATTTTTTTAGAGCCTATAAATGCAACCTCTATTCATCATGTGCTGTAGGACGCAATCTGGCTTAAAAAAAAAAAGAAGGGACATTCCACACTTGCCGTCACGGTGACAAGTGGCACTGACTAGCATTCCAAAGTTTGCATACTCATAGACACCAAATAAAGTGGACAGGAGAGAAGCCACTCACCACCATAGCCGATTTTGTAGACCGTCAAATGCATTACCCAAAGGTCAAAAATTGGTCCCTATTGGTGGCTAGTTGTCCCGGACCTTTTATTTTTTACAATTATAATTGCTACAATCTCTACATATAATCTCTCATAAATTCCTTAGTGTCATTGTCTGTTGATTTCATCACATATGGGCAATGAAATACATCTTCTACTGTCGCCGAATAGAACAAAAATAATTCTTGGTCACAATGCTGTTTGATGCTGTCACAAGACGTGCCTTTGCAGCAACACCTCGAAGTTGTCAACCACTCACATGCTCGTAGATAAGCCTCACCTAAAATTACATGTACATAAGCGCACGCACCTAAGGGCAGTTTACGTCCTGCTACCCACCAAAATTTGGCTGTGCTGGCTGGATTAGCAGTTCAATGGCTGCAGTTGCCAACTCAGCTCAGCACATGTGTAAGGTAACATTGTGTGCACTAGACAATGCTGTTGATGGGCTATCAATGAATGAGCCATATGTCTAATATTTTGTTAGAAGGTGATGGACACGGTCACAACAAAGCTAAGGCGACTGGTCGTTGCTTTGTACACGTTGGAGCGAGCCACACCAATTAAGAAATACTTAAATGTATTGCACATGCTTTTAGTGCGAAGCACTTTAGAGGCCAGCCTGCTGTATGCTGTCATCGTTGCTTGGCGTGATGCAGGCAAAAACACATATAGCATAGCCAGCATATTGAGTGTGTGCTTGTGCCACGAAGAAGTCTCATTCCTCGGGTTCTTCAAGCTCCCTCAGGCAGAGTGACATGAAGTGTGCGTGTGGACGTTACTAGTAATGTGGCTAGGGAAACGCAACAACACAAACCCCATATAGTAAAAACTGGAAGCGTAATCAGGCAAGAAACAGAAAAAGAGAACAGAAAGAAATAGCAAGAACAATAAAGAGAAATATAAAAAACTGGAAAACATATTGATTCCAGCCCTGCCTAGTGATTTTGGTTTCTGGGCCTCAGTCAAGCTGCAGACCACAATTTTTAGCCCTGGAATCTAGTCTGAATGTATTTGAAAAAATATTGAAATTTGAAGTAGAACCCATCAAAACATGGCCGAGCGTTACGATTCTTGAAACGATGCTTAAAAAAAAAAAACTACTCTTTTCAGTTTAGCAAAATACTTTTTCACAATATCCAAATCACGAGAACACATTAGGCTAGCTACAAAACGAAAAAAGAAAATGCAGGTGCTAACGCCTCCTTTAAACTTCCTATAGCAGTCGCCGGGGCACGATAAATAGATTTGAGCGGTGTCTGTCAATGCCTGCATAACTCGTACTCAGCAAAATGATGGTCTCATTCTTTTAAGGAAGCCAGAAACTCGGCATATATTTCCCAGAAAATTTCGTTGAACTAAAATGATGAAAAATACAAATAACATTTTTAAATTCCCTGACATCACCATTGCGGCTTAACGGTGTACAGTTTATCATTCAAGACTAACTTATTGCATCACTTTAGTGCCTGTTTAATTAAGACATTCTTGCAAATTAATACAAGGCGAGTTCAGAGATGGTTGAATTCACCCGCTGTATGTTGAAACATAATGTCTCTCCTTCACCAGTCAAAAAAATAGCAAAATGCAATTCATACGATAACAAGTACGTAATGTCTGATCCAGATATATTTCTAATTTGCAAAGTCACACTTGTTTGCATCACCGTGGTTTCCGCAGGCAGAATATCAGAGATGGCAAACGTGGCTTCTGTTGTGGGCGAGGCATCCAATGCTACCCTGTCAGTCGTTGGGGATTCCCTGGTGATGACAGACTCCCCAAGAGCCGGCAGTGGAGGAGGCGGAGTGCCTGCGTATTTACATGAGAGCGCTCTAAAACACAGAGGCATGCACAACACAAGTTGGCTTGCCACATTTGTAAGCAAGAACTGCGGAAGTTCGCCATCATAGTAATATCTGAAGAGTTACATCCCAAACCCACAATATGATTACGAGAGAAGGCGTAGTGGAAGGTTCTGGAAATTTCTACCATCTGGAGTTCTTTAACGCGCGCCGACATCGCACAACACACAGGCCTCAACCATTTCGCCTGCACCAAAATGTTATCGCCAAAGCGGTAACCAAACCCGTGACCTTCTGGTCAGCAGCCGAGTACCCTAACCACTACACCACCATGACAGACAAGTTTGCCATAATCCTTTTTTTTTTAACACCCACTGCAGGCCGAAGGCATCTTTTGGTGACCTCCAGTGACCATGGAATGTACAAACAGTACATTTTCAGATGAAATCGAACAAACATTGAGTAGGGCCAAAAGCAAACCATATACTTTTTGAATAGTGAACAGCCAAATGCACAAGTTAAGCTAATGTTAGGCTCAAATTTCATTGTTCGGATAGGAGTTTCTACTATAAAAATAATCGTAACAAAATTTACCACCAGCATTTGCTACCTGCTTTTATCGTGTAAAAGTGTTTTTGAACAAGTCATCTTTTGTTTTCCCAATACATTAGAAGAGGCTCTGCAGAAAGCCACGGATGCCTATCAAAACGATGTTGCCTCTCCAAGGTTACCACATATTCACATTGCCCCAAAGTGCAGTGAAGCAAACTTGAGGGCCAGCACCCAGAGACAAGGGGGACACTCAACATTGAAAAAAAAAAACTCCAAAACAAAAATTCCTGCGATTATATTGACAAGTCTGCTCTGTATGCCCACCCAAATGAGTACAAACATTCATTTTTACGTAGATGGCATCAACAATCTGCACCTTCACGCATATCTTCAGCCATAGAGTTTCCTATAGATACACTATAGGAAACTCTGGCACTAGTGTCTATGGCAGCTGCAACATACGGCACTTCAGCCAGCATGCAAATTATGAGAAGTACATGGATTTGTCTAATCTTTGTTCTCCCAGTTCCAAGAGGCAGAAATTTGTTTCGGGTGAGGACAGGGCACCACCTTCATCCAAAGTGGGGGCGGTGCAGGCATATGTGTTTGAGTGTCATTTCGTGATCTGTATGCCTTGGTAAAAGAAAGCCTTTTGAGAGGGGGGGTCAAGGGGGCATGGGTCAGTGTGCTGTGCCATTAGTGCCACCAGGAGATGCTTTGTCACAGAACTAAGTTCAGCAGTTTTAGGGGCGAAGCTCTTTAAGCAGTGGGTTGTACATCCCCGATGTATGTATGTATGTAATGTATGTATGTATGTATGTATGTATGTATGTATGTATGTATGTATGTATGTATGTATGTATGTATGTATGTATGTATGTATGTATGTATGTATGTATGTATGTATGTATGTATGCATGCAGTAGTAGTAGTAGTAGTAGTAGTAGTAGTTAGCCACCTCTCATTTAGTCCTTGGAATGTTTGCTGGATATAATGAATATTTGTATATGACAAATATATGATGCAAAGATTCAAAAGATGCAAGATGGCCGTACTTTAAGTGTTCACCAGATGGACGGACGGATGCACGCACGGTCGGACGGATGCACGCACGGACGGACAGACAGGCAGGCAGGCAGGCAGGCAGACGGACATATGCACGCATGGACGGACGCAAGGAGATGCCCGGAAAGATGCACGGATGAACTGTCGCACGGACAGATTGAAGGACACTTCACCTCACTCATCATCATCCACTCTCAGGATTGGTTGGTTGGTAACAACTTTATTGTTTACTCTGTGGATATGCTGCAAATTTTCCATTCCTTTCCTGGCCAATTAAAATTGCTCAGAAAGTTCACAACAGTCCTATTGTTTGAAGCAAAACCAAAATAAAAATAAACAAACCTGCAAGTGTGTGACACCAGCAAGCACAAAGACTAGGTAAATCTGTGTACTACCCATCATTATGTTGGTTGAACGATCTCAGTGCCAGAGTTCCCTCTGGTAAATATTGTAGAAAAGTACGCCTTTCACAAAAATAATTGTTGGTGTGCAGCTTTGCGTGATGGCTATCCGTGGGAAAGCATATTTTTGACCCACATAATCATTTTAAATTTTTTGTACCAATTCAATTACAATCATTTAATGGCTTACACAAATCTGGGAGATACACGACTGTAAGTCGGGAACAGTGGTGCCATCAAGCTGCTAAGTGTGTCAGAGAGGCATATGAAAAGTGGCTTTAGAGTGCGAAATGTGTCAAAGTAAGCTGTAGCACTTTCTTATTGTACAACTCTGGCCAGCACAGGCCCACGCCTCGCTTAGGCTTCTTGTTCAAAGTTGCCCTCGCTTAGGCTTCTTGTTCAAGGTTGTTTTGTCATTAGGTCTGATGGTAGACCTCCTCGACCGACAACAGTTATGAAAAAATAAAGAGAGGTAAGGGCCTTTTTTTAAAACACATATTACTTTGCTACAGGTGCTGCTCTGTACTTTAGAACTGACGAAATTCTACACCTTTCTTTGAAGAATAAGATTATTAAGATATGCTCAGTGTTACACAAATTTAATTCTAAGAAGTGTTCATTTTCAAATAGTCATAACTTTTTTTTCACTGTATTGTTTGTTTTGATACTGCAAGAACAAGCATATATCTCTTGCAGGCAGTGTATAATACAACTTTTGGTGCTGCTGCTGTATTGTAAAAAATTTGGCTAGTATGAACATATTCATGATGGTTAGTTCGAACAAAGAGGATTTTGCAACCACTGGACACAAACCTACGTGGCCTTCATCTAGTCACTGGATCGCCCGGCGTGACATGGCCACTTGCTGTAACACGCTTCCGATAAAAAACAGCGTCACCGCAGTTATGCCGGAGGCTTACGTCACTACTGTTGGCTGTAAAACCCAAGCTGCCAAACCGACCGAGCGCAGCGTTGGCATGTTTGCCTCGCTGCTGCTACCAGATTATTAAAAGTCGTTATGTTTCATGCTGGGATCCGTCCTGCTGTCAACAGTAACTCGGAATCTGAACAAAACGCAACGCCATGAACGAGCAAGAGGCCCTACAACAATGGCTTGCCCAACTACAGAGGCAGCTGCCCACCGAGCACGAGCTTATTCAGAAACAAGGGCAATAGCTTCAGGAACGGCCGCACCAACGCAGTTATTCCGTGCAGCATCAACCTGGCAGCGACTCCTCAACTCTGCTCGTGCCTGGCGGCTCCGCTGAAGACCTCACAATCTCTGCAAATGGCATCTGGAGAGGCTCTTTCAACTTTACACCATTCTGCACGAACTCGCCCGAAGTATGGTTCCACCAAGTCGAGGCCCAATTTCCCCTGGCATGCATCACGCAACACCGAACGCGTTATGACTGTCGTTGCCCGCCTCAACGCCTGCTATGCCAACCAGGTTCGGGACGTCCTCATCAACCCAGCAACAACCAACCCTTATGAACACCTCAATAGTGAACTTATACGCCGCCTGTCACTCTCAGATGACTAGCAGGTGCGACAACTTCAGTCAGTAGAACTTGCCGAGCGCAGGCCTTCGCAGTTTCTTCGCCACATGCATGCTCTTGTCGGTAACATGGATGTGCAAGATTAGTTCCCGTGACCACTTTGGCTGTAACGACTTCCATCACATATCCAGGCCATTCTGCAGGCACAGCCAACACTACCTCTCCATCAGCTTGCCGAGATTGCTAATCGCGTCATCAAGGTATCTTTGCCACAGCCATCACCCTCCATCCAGGCTGTTGCCATTGCACCGAACACCACAGAACTTGTGCGCCGCATCAAGAAAATCAATAGGCAGCTCAGATCCATTGAACAACATTTAGGCGAACACTTTGTGATGCACCCAAGCCACCACTGGCAAACCCAAGACCATCAAACCACCTCATCGCAGCAGCCTGTCAAGAACGGTTGTTGTTTCTACCTTCGAGCACCTTCACTACTCCATCTACCATCAAGTTACAAGCTACCATCTACTTTCTACAATCAAGTTACAAGCTACCATCTACTTTCTACCATCAAGTTACCAACCGCCTTGACTACTCAATAGAATACACGAATTTCACAACGAAGTTATGGAAGCGTCAAGTAAATCATTTAAAACATGGCTCATTTCACAAAATATTAAGTTTGTCTGACAAAGCTGCTGCATGTATGTTCAATTTCCGTGTCTTAATTGCAAATTTTAATTGTTGACTTGGGTGAAATGACCTATCAGTGTATTATGTAACATTTTTTTGTTGTTTCTTTGCAGACATAACGCGTTTATTCTCGCTTTTCTACTTTTTCGTACACATGTTCCTTTAATTTCGTGACTATTCAATGCAATATGTCTGTACAGTATACTTTGTATTGACTTGCGCTATGTATGGACTGCGTGCCGAACTGTCGTAGGAGCAGAAGCCTTTATCAGGCCACATGGCATTTAGCTTCTTCTTCCTTTCTGTTATAAACAGAAGAAATAAAGTCAATTCAATTCAATCGACGCTTTGGGAACAGTGTCAACCACCCTGCTCCACTGGTCACGAGAGAAAGGCCAACAGCAGCTTGCAGAGACGGCTGCGAGCTGCCTAACCTGAGGCCGTCGCATCTTTGTCTGACCAATTCACGAAGCAGCGTTACATGGTCGACAGCGGTTTCGACATTTGCTGGTACCAGCGATACCACTTTCGAAGTCCTCATACTACCAACATCTTTCGAGCTCAGCGTAGTGAACCAATCCACAATCAAGACATACGGCTCCCTGCGCCTGCACATCCAGCTCAAGAACCTATGCCGCGACCTTCACTGGAACTTTTTCATCGCCGATGTCGCCGAGCCGATCATCAGCTCAAACTTTCTGGCTCACTACAACCCCCTTCAAGACTGCCTCAACGACCGGTTCATAGACACGGCAACGGGACATTCCTCACCAGGTCAGCGAACAACCAAGCAT